ATGCTTTATTTGTTATAAGGAACAATGTTAGTTAATAAATTATCTTTATATAAATTAATTTTATATAAAATGCTAATATATCTTTTTATATAAAGAATTCTATAACAAGACACTAATATGTAAGGAGGTAAATATGTACATTTAAAAGTTTAAAAGTAAACTAAAGTAAAAAGAAAAGAAGTTGCACAATAATAATAACTTAAATAAAAAAAAAGGTAAGAAAATTATTAACTACCTTACTAATGCTGCATTTCTCTACTACGCAACTGCAGAGGACATATACAGCCTAGAACCTAAAGGATACGCAGAATAGTTTATTCTTAAGGATTAATATTATACAGTATACTAAGGTAAACTATAGAATACTAGCACTATAAGGATTTCTACTGTAGGAAAGTTATAACTTAAAGTATAGCTGTAAAAATTCCCTTATATAAAAGTAGATTAGACACTAAATAAGAAGAGTATTAGCTTTAAAAAATAAAAATTAATAAAATTAATTAGTACTATATAAATTACTAATCTAGTTAGTAGTGTTACATATTACATACTAGATACGCTAACACCCTTCTTACTATCTCTTGCTAACGCAGACTAGATAAATGCGTACTTTAACAACATGCAGAATGTAATTGTATAAAGTAATAAGAATACTGTTCTAGTTATATAAAAATAAGGTTATCTATTTTTTAATATATAAAAGAAGGAATTAATGTTTTTTTTTACTAAACATAAACTTTAATAACTGCATAGAAGATTTAGCTATTCTTATACAGAATAACTTTACATAATGCTTAAAAACGCTAGACATAATGTTAATCTCTTTATACTTAAGAAGATTAAAAAGTTCTGCTACATATATTAGCTACATAACCTAGCACTATAAAGATTTAAGTTTATAATTAAGAACAACTTACACTTTAACTATAAGATAGTAATTAACATTATATAAATTAGCAACTAAGACATACTATATATAATTAACATAGATACATTATTCTAAGCAGTAACCTTCTTAAAATTAATGTCTACACAAGATACCTAGAACGCGCTTTATAAGTGTTAGATTAACACATACTAAGGCTTACCTAATTATATTATATATAACTTTAGTACAAACTTTGCATCTAAAGACTTCTAGAATTACGCAAAGATTGTAAGAGCAACATGTTAACAGATGCTAGTAGAGGCCTATTAGGCTCTAGGGAAGATTAAGCGCGCGCACGCACTACTGCAACATGCGTATAATATCCTTTATACAGAATTAGATAATTGTATAAATAATAAGTTAGTGTTATAGATAGCTGTTAAAGCTCTAAATAATATAGTAGAACTAAACAGTCTTATACCTATATTACTTATGTTTAGAATGTACCTAAAAATTAACATAGATTCTGCACTATCCCCTAATATTATTACGCAAGCTAATGCTGTATAAAAGGTAATAAAAATGCTTTAAAGCAAAAAAGTAAAAGTTAATATTAATTATATAATTAATACTTAAAATAGCTTAACTTTATATAAAGTACTAAATCTCCTACTTAGTTCTAAAGTAAAGACATAGCAAGAAAAGAAAGAATAAATAAAACTACACATAGTAAAAGAAATTAAGGCCCTAGATGTTATTATTAAGATAAAAAACAGTCTAGTAAAACTCTACTACACATAAGTTATACTATATTATTATATAAAAGATAAGAATAAACTTACATAAAAATTGCTAGATCTAGACAAACTAGCCCTAGTACAAAGGGATCCTCTACAGGCATAAAAGAGAGGTTGCCTACGCAAGCAACTAACTCTAGTTAATAGACTGCATAAAACAGCCTTTTAAGCAGCATTAGATTTATTGTATAAACTAGAACTAGAACTACAGCTAGCTAAAAAAGACTAAAGAAGACTATGTAAAAATCTATAGGCTACAACATTCTTAACTTAAAAAAAAAAGAAGACTACACGCTAGCAATTAAGCTCTGTGTAGACAGTATAATTACAACACTTAAAAGACTATTTAAAGAATTAGACTATATAGAAATAGAGAGTCTAATTATAAGTAGCATATTTAAGGTACTTTTATATAATTTATTAATTTACAAGAGACAAATCTTTAACTTTTAACTTATATATAAAGTTAAAGGGAAATTAATAAAACTATATAAAAAGTTATAACTTATGTTTACAAAATATTTAAATAAGAAGAAGAAAAAGATCCTTATATAGTTTTCTATAATTTAGAAAATAAGTTAGAGGTTAATTTTAGCTATTAGCTTATTACTAATAGCTTTATATAACATGGACTATAAACTACATAATATTACTTAGGCATATATATAATTAATAGACAAGCTTGTTTACACTCTTTTTACATAACTACTAAAAGAACTTTATAAAAGCTTTCCTCTACACATAATATTTAGAGTTGTATAACTACTATACAGCGTAGTAGAGTTAGGCTTATATTAGTTTAAAACATACTATAACTATTATAAGAATAAACTTTTTATAAAAACTTTATTATATAATTTATGCTTATTAATTACACATAAAGGCTTAATAGTGTTTAGTATTATAGGACTATAAATAGATAATACTCTTAGTATTATTACAGCTAATTTTGCATAAAAAAAGGAAAAAAAATTACTTAAAGCTAACTTCTAAGCAAAGCCTAAAACTATACTATTACATAATTAGGCTATTAAATTTAATAAAGAAAAGATTTACTTTATATAAAATAATATTATTTTTATATAAAAGGGTTAAGCTAGGAATCTACACATAATAGAGTCTAAGGTAGAGGATGCTGCGCAGAAGTACGTCAAACAGCGCGCGCAAGGTGCTTATATTGCATTAGTATGTTAACCTAAGGCAGCATTTAACTTGTCTACTGCCGCTTAAGTTGTGTTACTGTTGTACAATAATATTAAGGCATTAAATGTATAAATCTAATAGCAAATTAATAACTAGAATAAAAAATTATTATATATACTACTTAATCTCTCTTATACAAAGTTGTTTATCTTTACTAACAAATTATTTATAAATAATAAGAACTTAAGTTTATAGCTTAGCTTTTTTATTATTCTTAGAACTAAGCAGTAAACTAGGAACTTATATAACTTTAAAATTATAAGTAATATTATACACTAAAACTTTTCTAAGTGTAAACGCGTTACCTGCTCTGTCCTAGCTAGTAAGCTGTACAGAATAGTAGAAGGATTTAACTATGTAATTGCACTAAGTACAACTATTAACTAGATTACACGTATGCTTAGAATACCTCCTATACCTATTGTACTATGCATAGATTTAAGATCTCTGTATAAATATTTTATAAAGCTTAAGACAATAAATAAGAAAAGACTTATAATTAATATTATATTAATTTAAAAATTATATAAAAAGAGGGAGATTATAGAGATTAAGTAGATTAATAGAAAAAATAACTCTATAAATGCCTATATAAAAAAGGCGCTAAACTTTACTCTTAAAAAACTAATTTTATACAACTAACTAACTGTTAGAGTTTGTGACGGCGTGTACCGCCTCACATGCTCTGCGGCATCAGCTCCCTCGCTTGCGCAACGAGTAGCACGCTAGTGCTACGAGTAGCGCCTTGGCAGGGGGCACACATGTATATTAAACTCGCAGAGCAGCTCCTCTGCTCCTTAGTTTAATCTAGTTGAGTTACACCACCTCTTGCTTGTAGCTTGAGCATGCTGACTGTGACAGAGTTAAAGTGTTAGTTAACAGACTTAAGCCTGTACAAGATAGGTAAAAAGGGCCCTATAGCAACCTGTCTACTGTATGTGTAAATAAGGCAAGTCTTATATAAAGGAAAAATAAAAGGTTGCTAATGTCTAAATAGTAATATTTAGGCGCCTAGTTAATAGTCACGTGGCTTAGATGCGCCTAGATCCCTGTGCACAGAGATCTGTGCGCAGAGTTTAGGACTATATTAACCTCTTTCCTTTGTACAATAGAAATAATAAGAAGCAATTAACACTAGTTACCTAACACCCCTGTGCGATGTTTACACCGTGCAAACCTCTCCGTCTCGTACGCATTTGCTGACACCAAGTGCTAGCTAGCAGAGAGTCCATTCAACAATTTTAAACAAAATATAACTTTACTATATAGCAGTTTTACTACTATAATCTTTAATTAAGATAAGTTATTTATAAGTTATTTCTAGTAAGCAGCTATAAGACACATAAACATAAAACATTAAATGTCTACAGCCTATTACCTGTAAACAGATAGGCAGACAGAACAAATAAACACTAAAATAAAAAAGTACTTATATGTAACAACCGGCTATCCAGGTGTTTCCTAGGCTGTCGTAGACTGGCCTAGACTGCACTAGGCAGTCCCGGACGACTCCCGAACCGTGCCGTTAACCCCGCACTTCCCAGACAATGCCTACCTCGCCTAAAAAGCCGGGCATCCTAGACAGGTAATACTTTGAACTGGACCTACGGCATACTAGATCTGTCGCTACCAGCGCTGCCGTGCCTGGCTCTCTGGAGAAGTATATAGCCAGTTGTAGAAGCCCTCTTTAGATAGCAGAGGATCGCCTTAGGAATTGGGCGGGTACCAATCGTACTCCTATGTCACAGTCACGCCCTTGTTGGTCAATACACCTCTTGATTGCGAAGTGTATACCCTGTTTTTTACATTATAAAAGTATATCTTTTACAAATAAAATAACTAAGTAGAGTAGCTTCCTATAGCCTAGCTAGCTATAAACACTTAAAAAGTCTTGTCTATAAAAAAACCTTATAACATACTTTATAGGCAAGTTACTTACTTACCTAAGTTACTTACTTTTACTAAGACCCTACTAAACTACTTTTCTTACACTAATGTATTTTTAATAACACTACTTAGATGTGCTAAAAAAATGTTAGATATAGCTTATACTCTAAGCTTTTAAATAAAATATAAAACTTTTAAAGAAACATGCTATAGCTATAGCGCATTTCCTTGTAGTGCTATGCAACATGTGTCCAAATGTGAGAATGGAGTACATACTGAACCGAAACTCTGGATCTAAAAATAGGGGAGTAGATTCGATCGAGTTTGTTGGCATTGCTTGGGTTCGGATTCTAGAGTGCTGTGAGTTGTGACGGTTTTGAATGAGTTCGAATGCAGCTTACCACCGGCCATCCTTAGAACGTAGGGGAGTATCTCTGGCGGAGGAGACCATCACCCCGACGCACCATTTACTAGACGAGGCGCACTAAAGAAGGCGAAAAGAAATACAGCGTATAGCAAATCCAACTATGTCTTCGACAAACATTTCACGGTTTGCAGTCGACTCTCAAGGGCAGGGCATCCTATCCGCGTCGCAATTGTGCCATATTAAATTCTAGTTGGAGAACCTAAGTGGGTGCAGGGATTCAGCTACACGCCAAGTCGCTGTGCTTCTTCAACTGACCGATCAGGCGTTCTCGGACCTGCATTTTTGGCCTTAAGGCGGGACTGAGCCGCGTCATTCATTTTCTCCTCATGCGGCACAAATTTCAAGCTTCACCAATATTATCAGTCAATAACTCGTCACGAGCACTAGAACTCGTAGGCGCACAGTATAGCCTCCTAACTAAGCGATCAAATTGCGTCCTAAGGCCTCCTGTCGGTTTCAAGGTGTAAACTCCATCTCTGCATCTAACGTCAGCTACACCACAACATCACATTCTGCTTTATTTGACACGCGAATTCAACTCCGCTGTTTCCGGGACATTCAATCTAGTACTCCAAAGTGTTTCGACAGGCGGGCCGATCCGAGACCCGGCGACCATACCAGGCAGGGAAGCATTTCAGGGTGATGTCTCCAATTAGGTCCATCTGGACTATAAAGTGCGCTTCTTTTCTCAATGGCTAGGGCTCTAGACGACATTGGCCCAATTTCCTCTTTACCTCTCACTCTACCAGCACTCCTAACCAGCAATCAACTTCCGATTTCGATTTTCGATTTCACCAACATGATTTCTTTTATTTCAACAGTTAGCGTCCTAGCGCTCTCCTTTGCGTTAACCGATGCTCGCGCCCTTGCCGTACATCCTCTGCAAACTAGACAAGGAGGTCTGACCTGTGCTAATGGGGAAAGAATGGCCGCCAACAGATTTCATCAGGCTGCCCGGGAGTTTTGCCGCATTACTGTTGGACACACCATTCCAGACTCTATTGTTGTCAACGGCGGTATTTTCGTCGTTGGAGGGAAGGGAATCTTAAAAGAAGACAAATGTAATTCCGCTTTTGCTACTATTATTGATGGGTGTGCGAGCAGCAGTATCCAGTAAGTCAAATCTGCCCCTAGATTGCTTGCGGAAACTTTTTGACATTTTGGTGAACTAGAAAACCTGGCGGGTGGCTTCAAACTGGTGATATTACTTGGCAGGCAGGTGTGGTCTTAAAATAATAGTGGAAAGGGGCATGTAGCTTTTTAAGTGGTTGTAGAATTCATCTACCCTTTTATGTCACAAAGCTAGCCCGAGGATAGAGGGTGTTAGAGGCGAGCTATCAATTAGGTGGTGAGGGCCAAACTAGGTAGGTTGGGCAATCCTGGGAAGTCTGAGGAGCGAGAGAGAGTCTCGAGGTGAAAATATAACGTACAAAAATTCGTGGCCTCCGTCCCTGCAAGCCGAAGCCCTACGTACCAAGAACCGGCCGCACATAATACCCGCTATGTTAATCACAGCCGCCTTAAGATGAGGCCAGTCATCAAACAGCGCTAACTGGAAGCATTCAAAGCCTGTATCTGTCTAGTTAATGTAGAATTACGATTGCTAAGCGGCCTTAACTCTTCCCGCTTGACCGCACGAAACGCGGGCTTAAAATTTGCAGCATATATTTATCATCCTTATAGCCAGTCATTAGTAGGGAAATTATATTTCGAAGACAGGCATATCCTAATTCCCTCTTCCCACTGTGCTGTACACATTTTCGACCTGTGCCGAGCTGGGCGCTGGTTTTTAACATTTTATGGTTCATATGTTGAAAAGTCTTCAACGAGGCGTGTTGAATCATTCTTATAGGACCTTCGCTAGTCGCGTTGCTTATTTGGCTAATACTGGCACAGTAGCCTACAGGCGGCAAGCTAGGCTTACGCGGACTAGGGTCGAACGAATAGTCCAGCAAAGACGCTTTATTGGTAGCTTTTAGGTAGGGTATCTGTGAAGCTTGTGGTAGCACCAGAGGCATGAAGAACTAGATTGATTGGCAAAGGAGTGTACCTAAGGGTCTATATATATGCAAGAAAAGGGGTAAATCTTGGGAACATGAGACTATCGTGTGAGCCATGCGTGACTCTGTAAACACCATCTAAAGCTCGAACACTCCGGCTACTATGTCTAGTAAATCACTACCACTTCAGCCCCATGACTTGCCACAATACAAGAGGTACTTCTTAACCGCAGTTCAATCTCGCAAGCCTGTGGCCTGGGTAGGTCGTTCGTCCGCTTCTAGTAAGGTCAAAGGGTGGCAGATCTTTAAGCTTAAAGGCGTTCTATTACTACAGTGGCCGCCTTGTCACCAACCTAGAGGGTTCTCGAAGCTTCGCTGTGGCAAATTACCTAACCATATAGACAGTCTTATTCCTGGGTCCCGTTATAAAGTTGGAGGGAAAAAATTGGTCGCCTCTACCTAGGGCTGTCAGTTGATAAGATTAATCGAGCCCCACATTCGTATATTCGTACCTTTCTAGAACATACACAAGATTGTCTTTCCTGACATCACCGAACAGAATGGCAGAAGCTTTAAGAGAAGTCACACCAAGTTCTCTAAACTACGTGTTGTCCATCCTCGATCTAATCCCAAACCCACACCTTGATATATAGGATTTTGAGGATTCGTAACGATAGGTATGATATTTGTAACCAATGACGCATCATATTTATCAACAACGATAGCACCAATTTCAGTGTGATACGAGCCAGTGGGATCAACCTAACCAAATCGTTATGGTGGCAGACCCTCACCTCTGCTCGCAGTGTGTCCAACCGTTAGTTACGGAGCCTTTTGGAGGCTGTATAGTACAGTTACGGAAGAGGAGGCTGTTACTAACTAACTGTACGGAGGAGATGACGTCAGTGTACGGTTAGGATACAGTAACTGAAGTATATTGAAGTATTATGAAGTAATTGCGCTGAAGCTAAAGACTATACCCAATTAGGAAGTTGTGATACCCCTTGTGAGATCTACTGTTGTTGATCTCACTGTTTTAATGTACTCTGTAAGCTCAGTCAGCTCACTAGTAACAGCGTTGTTACGTAACTAATTCTTCTGCAGTTGAAGAGCCTCTATTGTCGACCGCGTCGTTGATTGGGATAGGAATTAGGACATCGTAATGGGCAAAAGAATAACGTAGATGGCATAGTTGCTGAATTTGTTAGAAGATTGCTAACAAAACAGGCAATAACGGCATTCTCCGCATTAATCTCCGAACACGAGCCCCCTGGCCCTCAGCAACCTGCCTTCAACCGCCCAAAACCACCAAAAATCCTATATAACTACCGTAAACGGTTAGTACAGCAGCCTCATGTATAGTACAGTATACTGAGTAGATGCCCTGTACGTACGTACGTGACCAAAATCAGTGTACTGCAGTACTGTACTATTAGGTGTACTAACGGTTGGACACACTGTCTGCTCGCATCCTGGATCTTAACCGTGTAGTCGTACGAAGCCTACGCGAGCTGGGCTAAGTCGTGAGAGAAGGTGATTAAATAAGCTGGGCTACATTGTTACTATTGTTGTGCATAGCCATCTCTCAAACTCATCTCACCAACTCATCTCACCAGTGACCAAAACCTACCGGAAAGAGAACTCTGTAGTGAGTCCAGTATAGTAGCGTGAGAAAGCTAGTACAAATCAACCATCTCGAACTGGAAATCTCCACCGTCCTGCCCATTATCCTCCATATCCCTCCGCAACAGCCTTATCTCATCGTCGTCTGAAAAACCACTGAAACTAGAGTCAGCGAGCTGCCAGTGATCGGGTTCACTGCTGCTGGCAACGAATTCAGGATCTATGAAGACCTTTGTGAGGAATGGGGTTGTTTTGACGAACAGCGTGAGCTCATTTTTCAAGTGGGGTAATTCGGCGACATCGTCATCTTCATAGCCAGGTAGCACAGTTCTCATATGAGGCGGGGTGAAAGGGGGAGTTACTACCTTTCTTCCCAGCGCATCCCAATCGATGTCACTGAAAAACCAATGGTCCATTAACTGTTGTGAGCCACCGGCTGCTCCTGGGCGATGCTCCTGGTTTCGATTGAGCAGGCGCTTGATCAGATCCTTTCCGTCACTTCCCCAAGCGTCCGAATGAAATCGCGTCTTGCCAAAGGGAATGTTCTTGCACATCTGTTCAGTACTTCCAGAGTAGGAAGAGCTCCATCCGCAACCCATGTCGAATGGGAGGACTCCTAAGCTCCAGAAATCAACCGTCATTATGTATTTTTCATCCGTAAGGACTATCTCTGGGGAAAGGTAATCGAAGTAACTATCATCCGCTCTGTCCAGTTTTGATACGGAAAGACCAAAATCAGACAGAACGATGTGGCCGTAGTTGTCGAGAAGGATTTTCCCTGGGCCGAGATCGCGATAGACGATATCGTTATCATGCAGGTGACGAAGCGCGAGAATGATTTCGGCGATATAAAACCTTGCTTTCGGCTCCGAAAATCTACCTTCCTTCTCTAAATACCAGAAAATCAAGCCACTATTCTTGTAATCTGATAAGAAATATAAAATTTCTTGTCTCTAGAACCAGAACTTCCTGTCGACCCAGAAGTTAGATGGACCTATACGTTTTCATACAAAGACCTTGTGTTTCGAAGTTGTTAGAACGTGTTCGGTGTCATAAATCAATTTCTTTTTGCTGATAGCTCTCACAGCGTACATCTTCCCCGTGTCTAGCTTCCGCATAGAGAATAAATCTCTATTGATATCTTTACCCATGAGCTCGATTATCTCAAAGCCCAGGGACCGAGCCGGCTGGCATTAGTGGCCTTGATAGAGAGGTCATATTTTCATCCGATAGAACCTTCTTTTCCAGGCTAAGAGGTAGTCATTGCTGCTAGTCTCATGAATAGGTCCATTAATTCCCTAGCCTAGAAACCTCCCGGGAACGGTACGATCTCGGCACGAGAGAAATCGACGTGGTTGCCTCGTTGAGCTCCTGTCCAGTCAAAATCAACGAAGCCTGGTCAGACGGCGCAGATGATGCCGTGGGTATGCATTTTTGCATCTTGTGGAGGTTGAATATGACCGCCTATCGGCGTTAGTGCAATATTGGAGAGGTCCGATGTGAGAACTGAAGCTGCAGGTGGAAATCACACCGTGCTTATGTGGATGTGACGTTCTTGCCTTATTCGTAATTCGGAAACATCGGCAAGTGCGTTCGAAATTAAAATAGAGTTGGCACATGGAGAGACTGTGTGTTGACAAGTTTGAGGTCAAAATATGCTGGGAAGGCTGAGTTTTGGGTGAACCTGGGAAGCCGAAGTACCAATCTATGCTGTTTAAGCTGAGGTTATGGTAATTCGCATGCAGGACAAATGAGGGTCGTACACGGCCTCGCCACTACTGGCAGGGACGACGGCTGACCTACTTTGGTAGCAGAATCTTGAGGTTGAACCGTAAGTAAGAAAGAAGAGCCTCTGAATCGTGACTAGTCATGTACCAGAGTGGTGGCGCCTTACATTTCGCTTCCGAAAATTAGCTTTTGGGCTTTCCGCCGAGGCCTTAGCGCATCTGACCCTCCGCCTGAAACGTACTATTAGAGAGGTTTAAACAGTATTGCTGACGATTACACCGAATTTAGGCACGAAGCACAAACTCTATGCACAGCTAGCCACAGTGAGGTGTTCTTTGTAAAATCGTTTTAAAAGCCCCAAGTCCAAACCATGTTCAAAGACCGAATACAAATACCCGTGCTGTGAGTGACACAAGCTGAAAATGCTTATGAGACTTTGCAGGTGATTCTCCAGTCTCAAAAGTATAATTTTATTATGGACGGATTTCAGTGCGAGCGATGAACACAAAATACAAGCGCCGATCTTACGTTTCGCAAAGAATCGTAATTATAGATGGACTTGATGGACACAGATTTTGCCTCTAGCACTGAGCATTATTCTCCCCGCTGGCTTCATCTTCTGGCACCAATAACAGAGGCTGTGCGCAGAGAGCGTGAAATGCTTCTTGGCACGCAGGGAATGGAGAGACGTTAGTCCTAATAAAGACGGATCTAGTCCTAAATTAGTTACTACCGACCCAAATTTCCACGTGATTTAGCCTCCCTTCCAAAATTTTAATCAACCCAACCCCAAATAGACCCTCTCTCAACGCACATTCCAAACCCCTTTTGCAAAAAGGCGAACGGTCTTCCCCAACAATTCTCGCCTAGCCACTCCTCGCCGCCAGCCCCGCGCGTCATCCTCACTGTCAAACTTGTTTCACCCGCATCCGTCCCAGTCGCCTGATCATTTTCAACGCTTCGATCAACATCGAAATCCCTCATGGAGTAACACTCGCACAGAGGCCTCCACCAATACTCCAGATATTTAAGGTCGCGTAGCTTTGGGTCTCGTGGCCCTCTAAAGCCAGATGGGTTTCGATGGCTGCGGTAAGGGAGACTGTTACTATATCAACGCGGCATCTTAGGCAAGAGGGCGTAATTCAGATGGTAGCAAATCCTGAGCGCGGAGACCATCTAGATAAATGGGAGCACTGAGGCTATTCTTAACACCCGTGCGAACAATGTATACAAACCGCGCTCGCGAATCATCATGCAGACTGTTGCGTCTATCAGAATCAAGAGGCGGATACAACTCCTCTATCGAAACGCTCCAATACGGCAGAAAACTCGGAATAGAGCGGCTGGAGGATGTAATTTATTCCTCTCAAATCTTCCTTGCGATATTGGGGTTCAATGATTGTATCAGCTCTGTCCTCCTATCTCACTAATAATTCCCATCACTTGTTTCCAAATCTCCCGACGCGCCTTGAGAACTCATTGTATCCTACTCGGCCCCATTGCAGTAATCCTGACCGGATTCACGAAGGAATGGCCGAATTCGATATCTGTCGCACGTCCATTTCTTCCGCCTATATATATTCTTCTGCTGTGCATGGTAGAAGATTGACCTTTTGCCCCTTGCAACAATATCAACCCTGCCAGAACAACCTCCCCACCCATCCTCATAAATAGCCACGGGAATAGTACCCTGCGTTTCCTTTTTTCCCTCCATCCTACGTCCCGTATTGCATCATCTGCATTCAATGCACCGCCGTTGGTTTGCTACGCAGAAACTCAAGCTTTGCAAGAGAAATCGTACCCGCCGCCCGGACGTCTTCTAGGACTACACATTAGCCGTCGACTGTTGACCAGCGAGATTGTATATGCCAACGGAATTCTTCTTCAAGTCAGAAATGCCATGCTTGGTGGAGGTTTGCGCGGACCGATACTTTCATGTAGTTATATAAGGGCTCTGGTGCGATGCTCTTGTGCGATGACCATGGCCGAGTGTTTGTCGGTTTCGAGACGTTTATGGCGGGCGCTTTCGGGGGATGGGTCGTCCGGATATGGAGAAGCGAATGGTGTAGGTATCAGATCGAGAGAGAGGGATAGCTATGATGAAAAGCGGGTTAGCCGAATGCCCTGAGCGGTGTCTCTGTAGCGACTTTAGGCTCGTGAGATGTGATGGATGGATGCAGTGTAGATCGTCTGAAGACGGATGTTGGTTGTTCAAAATCGAGTTGTTTCTGCAGCCTGCTTTCAAGCGTTCGGAAAGGTTGCGAGAGCAAGTTAGGATTTGACCTTAATGAGCAATCGTGGTGAGAGGAATGAAGAGACTTAGCACCGAAGTCAACAAAGATCTGAAAATAGTGACTCACCTTCCATGGTACCGGCTTGATCATGGACGGGTTGCGACTTTACCAAACAGCACCTAGAGATTATGGTAATTGCCGCGTTAGGATGAACGCATCTGATCTGATCTATGTCAACCCCCTTTTGCAAGTATTGTCGACGAAGCAGTTAATTTTATCACCATGACTCTCACATATTTGCCGCTTATTCGAAATTAGCGAACCTTAATGATAAAAGCTTCCTATTCCAAGCCCCTCTCCAGTGACCCGGGGGAGGTTATTTGCTTACAAGGACTTTAATTTGGATGTTTTCTAAGCGGTAGTATGATTTAGATCCGGACCTAGGTCACCTTGGGATCAACCATGCGCAACCCACTCGTCCAAAACTACCATCGACTCTTCACAGCGCGTGCTCATGCGGCCCTGCTATCGAAAGTTTTACCGGGCCTCCTCCGCAACAACCTTCATTCTCACGCCCAATGAATCATCCCTTGGCTCACCCAAAAAGCAATCCCGATAGTTATCGATATCTCTCTCCCTCACAACATCGTACAGCTCAAAGTCAAATCTGCGAATCAATTTCGCAAGTGTCAGGTACATTTGACACCAGGCCAGACTAAGAATGTCAGCCGCACATACAGCAATATGCACGATACTAAAGAATAAAGAAGCATGCAGGGAATGGTAGGAGGAAGACATTAAGACGCGAGTAAAGGAAAAAGAAGAGAGATGGACTGCCGACTTACTTAATTCCAATACAATTCCGATGTCCGCGATGAAACGGGACAAAATACCCCATATTGCGCTTATACTCCGAATTCTCTTCCATCCATCGCTCAGGGATAAATCTCATGGGCTCAGGCCAGGTTTTCGCATCCAAAGCCATGGAGCTAAGCGTCATGCTCACTGGAGTCTGGCACAGTCTCAGTAATAGTTAAGTGGCAAAGAGTGGAGAGTAGGGGATGCCTACATTTGGCGGAATCGCCCATTCCTGATATCGCATCCACTCAGTTGGCGCTTGGAGAGGAGCGCGTGTGGTTATGAGTGCGGCAATGCGGAGAGATTCTTTGAGGACTGCAGTCTGTATTCGAGGATCAGGTATAGCCGAAGTCCGAGTTTGATTAACTTACCAACCAAGGCAGCGCTTCCAACGTCGCCAAATCTACGTGCGCATATGGATTAGGCATTGCTTGCTTCAACTCCTCTTTTAACCGCTTGAGCACTGGAGGGTTTGCATGAAGGTGATACATGGCTGCGGTCATAGATCTTGCAATGGTGTCGCCAGATGCCGATAGAATGGAAAAGCCTTCTTGTGCCATGCGTTTGACCTCCTTGTCATGGGCTTCCAGGTTGCTAGAAAGGATGGTATGGAAGACATTCGCTCGGACCTTTTGCTCACCCTCCAACGAGTCATGTTCTGCAATTGCTGCTGCGGCTTGAATCCGGAGGTCCTGTCACGAACTGGTTAAGCGTTCGCATTGCGTTTACTGCGGAGTGCTTACCCTGAAGATTGACACTACTAGTGCTAGCTCTTGACTTATGGCTTTAATGATCCACATCGGAAGCTCCACCGCAAAAGGCATAACCCACGAAAACTGCCGAACAACGGGCGTCCAATGTAGAAGCGCAATGATGCTCGCCCTCCAAGTAGCCGCTCTATCCCAATCTTTCAGCAAATCCATACATCCTCTTGGCCCTAATGTGTGCTGACAAAAGACATCCGTCCCCAGTGCAAGCAACGGGACCCTGATATTAAGTTCTTTCCCCTCTCTTTTCGCTTTAGAAAAGACATCACACAAAAGTTCAATCTTCTCATCCACAATCCCCTGGTCCTGAAGAATACTCTGCTTGGAGAAATAGCCACTGATCGCCGCCCTTCTCTTTCGATGTGTTTGGTGGTCAACTGTACCGAAAATCCCCTCTGGCGTCCCCTGTACATGTGCGGCGGGAGGATACTTGTCACGTCGTGCGCTGCCACCAGCATACAAAGTATCGAAGAAATCAGGGTCTGAGACGTGGATCTCGTGAGGATTGATGCGCACGATTGACCCGTAGCGCTCGTGCATGCGTTCAATAGCAAATGCAAAGGTTTCTCCGGGGCCAGCAAAGAAGTCTAGAAAGCATTCATACCAGCCAGTTACCGCCGTTAGTTTAGGACCAGGGAAACGCGCGAGAGGGTGCAATGTGACACGATAGATTGCTAGTACAAGGGCATAAAGGATCGATATGGCGACGAAGGCGGCGAGGAGGATTGGGATGGAAGGAAGAGACTGCCACAATGCTAAGAGAGGAAAAGCTCCCATCGCGCAAATCTCTAGCAATCAATGACCGATCGTCGAAAGTGGTAGAAGAATCTGGCTGGGATGGTGAAGTGTGAAGTATTACCTGACAATTGACCGTGAATTGGGGAATACCCTAGACCCCAACGCGTGCATGGAAGCTAAAGGCTCAGGCTCGCTTTCAATTTTTGGTGGAGCAAGGTAACGCGCGGTTCATTTTTAGAGTACCAAGGAGTCCATCGAGACCGGAGCTCAAGGCTACTTCCGGCAAAACGTCGTACCCACTTTTTCGGCCATTTCCAGCTAATGATTAGCTGATAAACAACTGAATTCACATGCACGTTCTATCCCAAGTTGGTAACAAACGTTTTAGACGGCTTCGTTGCAGGTCGAATTCTGGTCGCCGACTCCCATCATCTGCAATTGATGAGGATGCATTGAGATAGCGGCAATTCAGCTGAATCGCGGGCCGCGAGGCACAGATGCCGTCCCGGCAAAAAGAAATCTTTGACACATTCCCCTCGCATTCCCCGCCAATTGCCAGGCCGTCTCTCCTGATATTCTGCAAGCCAGTTGAGACGAGGGGTAAAACGGGAAAACATTCCGTGGGGGTGGAGCCGAAAGTTCCGGCGCTTCCTCGGGCGAAGAACGAGCCGCGGCTTGGGGATCTTTCCCAGGTGGAAGGGTGAGAGTTTCATGGGTTCTCACGCTAGACGAGGATCCCCTTCAGAGTACAGCTGGTATCACGTGTAGGAGTCAACATGGAGTCGACATGGAGTGTCGGAGGTCTAGGCTAGAGATGCAAGCGTGGGGGCGAAAGAGGAATCGTGAAAGTCTAGTAGAGACAAGGATTGAGAAGGGAAGAAGCGCTGTTGCGGTGGTGCGCATGCCTCAGCGCCTTCCGAATCGAGGAACTAGATGTTGGCCCACAGCTACTAGGGTATATCTAACACATCTAAGAAGGTAGAAAGAGACCAAATCGAGCACGAGCACACTTCAGTGCAGGATATGAGTGCTTCGAAGTCTGCAGATACAAGGCTTGGAAGCCTCGGTGGTTCGTCATCCCGCTAAGGGCGGTGAGCAATGATCAACCATTGTCAGATGAGTGACAAACCTCAACCCAAATTGAAGAGCTTCGTCGGTGATAGTATCCACCGTGAGCAAGGTGAAACTGGGCTGCGAATCATGACCCTTGCCTAAGTCCCTTGGGGCTTCGGTTTCTGCGGAACTATCTCCATTTTGTTGGTGTCAGATAGATAAAACAATGGGAGGAGGTATTAAGAGCGTTTACCAGGAGGAGAGTCATGGACATATCATCTGAGCCATCTAGCTTAGTTGTGCTACAGCGAGTACCAGTGGCCAGAATTTTGCGTCAGACGCACGAGCATATTGTGGACCATCAATCTGAACTTGTTTCTGAGGACCTCACACGGTTCAGCGGGTGATGTGCAGCAACGGACGGAGCGAAGAGAGTGAAAACGTCCCGCGCTGCAGATGCGTAGCACACACGCAACCAATGGCGGGGTTACACGATATTTGCCTCTTCGGCTCGTGTCTCCAAGGATGCAAACCTCATGCAGTGCCAAACCCAAACGTCAAGCGCGGCCTCAACCGTGCGCTAACCGCTGCAAGCGCGAGCTGTGGCAAGATAACAAAGAAAAGCGAACGTCTAATATAGCTAGTAGAATCCAAGGTGCTTTGGCTGGAAGTACGACAGGGATGCGTCTAGCGGCAGGTCCTGACTCTGTTCCAGAGTGCATCGTGTTTCTTCCATGCCATTGGGCCTCTCAAAGAGCATTAGATCAATTTGGAAGAAAAGGTTGGTTCGGCAGGCGCAGAAGACGTTCGCGGCACAGCAATGGTAGGCTGAGCATGGGGTGACAGTTCGAGAGAGGGAAACCGAAAGTCGTTTGTCATGAAGAGGTTGCCAAAGTTCGCTGTCGTCCTGACTTCTATTCAGCTGAATGGGGTTTTCGAGATTAGATACGAAGCACTGGCGGATAGGCGATCACAGAGGAGGAGGTTGGAGATCTGGTTATCCACAGACACGGTCGGTCCGCGCGTCTACCTCAGCCCTGCAGGTCGCAATCACCCAGATGTCTGATCAATAGTGAGACCACAGCGCGTGTGAAGCTCCCGCGTGTCATATTCCTAGTTCTTGGAAATCAAGCTTGGAAGTCTAGAGGGAGCTTCCAACCCTCAACTAGATTTTCCATGTAATTTCTTGCGCAAATAACTTTGTCGAAGATATTAACGTGGCGTTTTTGAACATCCAACACGGATGTACTATCCTCAATGCGGGGCTAAATGTCATCGCGTACAGTACTGCAATGATGAACCAAACACCAATCGCGTCATTCCTGTACCTGGTCCGTGGAAGCAATATTGCCACCTGCGAATTGTGATATGTCGTTGATCTTAATCTCATGAAAGGCATTTGCGAGAAAAGAACGTGAGCCCCGTTGTCGTTTGCACTACGCAACTACTTGAATCAAAAGCTCCATGGTGTTATATCTTGTCGCAGTAATGCGCCGAGATTTCTAAAGACGAGGACCTTCCAAGATGGCCGCAGTAGAGTGGTGGCGAGATATGACGACGGGGAAGTGTTACAGCCGGTGATCCAGCACAGATATCTTGCAGGGTCGAGGTTCTAAAATACCGTGCTCGAAGCGAAGGGAGTTAGCGGCCTCGCAACGTCCAAGCGCAGCGGAGGTGAGTTCCATATCGATAGGCAGGATTGACCATGCAGCTAAGCCTGCTAAATCCTAAGCTCCGGGTAACTAGACCAGGATAGACACATCCGAATAAAGAGTCACTGCGGAAGCCCGTGTTGATGGTCGAGCTAGGATGATAGACGTCTTGAGCCCCAATCCAAACACCCATCAATCGAAGTCTGCATCTTGACATCCTCCTTCCATCCATCCACTTGGGTTCTACGAGTTCGGGTGCGCTTCGGCGAGATGGCAGCTCTCTCAGATTCGCGACAGCAGTTGCTTTCGTCGCTCAAAGGCCAGCAACTCCACATTCCGGATCTCCGGATAATCTTTCAGCATTGGCCGCAGGCTGTATCTCCACACCTCGAAGGATTGAGACTTGATGTGCCAAACAGGCTTCTGAGGTAGAGCCCAAAATGTGGTGACGGATAGTTCGAAAGCTGAGCAAATGGAAATATAGCCTAACGTCCTCGTCGAAGAAGCTTGCGAAGTTGCATAAGGCGGAGTTTGGGCTATTTTCTGCAACGTGGTGGCCAACAGCGACACTCGAACACGGAAAGATTTTGGCTTGTCTAGTGATGTGGGCAAGTTCTTCCCTCCAGTGCAAGATGACGTGAGACTGACCTGGGTTAGCTTTTCATCTGGGATGATGGTCAGTGATACAAAAACTTACAACTCGAGTCGATTCGTAATAGCATGTACTGACGAGCAGTTAGAGATCGATGCTGAGGTTGGACGGCTATCAAGTGACCTCAAGGCCGCACAGAACTTCCGTAATGACACGATCCGATATATGCAGTTTTGCTTAGGACTGGGCGACGACGACTGTCCTGCACCAGAAAACCCCATCATTGCGTTCTTTAAGGTCATCGGGGATGCTGCGCTCGAATCGTACACACTTGGTGAGTTACAGGTGGAACCCACCAGGCTGCAGCTGACAGGCGCAGAACAACGAGAACTGCTCTTCAAGGAGCTGGAATTCTTCATGGAGACGTCGGAAGTCGAACAACGGCGCCGTTTGAGCGAGGAGCTCCCAACTTTGGATGAGTATATTACTTGCCGAATGGGGACGAGTGCGGTTGGTGTTACGTCGGCGTTTAATGAGTATGCGGCAGCAGCTTGAATTTTGAGCATCTTACAGACTTACAAAAACAGGTTCGCCCAAGGGATGGCACCTTTGCCTTCCCATGTGATAAATGACGCCGATATGCGAACTCTCTGGGATGAGACAAATATCATCATTTGGGCGTAAGTCGGCTGTCCCTTCACATCCAAGACTAACAAATTCCCAGCGTCAATGATCTATTGTCCCTCAAGAAGGAGGTTGTAAGTGTAATATTCATTGCAGCAACCTACTTTTGCTTATGCGACGTAGCAACAACAAACGGTGGACAGCCTAGTGCCGCTGCTTTACCACAGATTCGGAAACCTGCAGCTAGCAGTGTCGCTCATTGTGGAAGCGGTCGAGAAGGCAGTCCAGAATTTCGACAGTACCGCCGAGACACTCATGCGGAGGTACTCCGCTGATGAGAAAATCGCTCGGAAACTGAAGGCACATATCGAGGCAAACCAATACAACTGCACCGGAAATCTGTTCTGGAGCCTACGGACCGGACGATATGGCGTTTGCCAGAAATCAATCGTTGGAGGCGTCGTCATTCCCCTCGAATAAATGTTGTTCGATGTTGAATGCATGCACGGGAAAAGGCTGTCTCTTCACGGGTGAGGGTTGTCCGAGGATTCATTACCTGATTCAAGTGATACCTAGCAGGTGTTGCATGCAAGGCGGCGCGATTGATCAACAAACATCTTGCTACTTCAAGTATCGTTCTAAGCCTAGATATAGATCATGTTGCTTGCATCGTGGTCGATATATGCGGGGAATGCGAAAACACGAGCGCTGTGTCCAAACAGGAGCCTTCGCCAAGATCTCAGCTGGTCGTTGTGTAAGATTCTTGGCATATCAATCTTGGTGTTTCAGCCCAATCATGAAGAGCGTTTCCGCCAATGTGTAGCGATTTCGCTTGAAAAAGGCTTAGAAAATGTGGTTGATTGAAGGCATTTCCCGGTTTCTTTTTGGCCCCTGAATTCAGCAAATGTTTTTAAAGACCCTCCATTTCTCATTTCACCCCCGGCCTTCAGTATTCTTGTCGCTCTTTATTCCACAAAATTTTTTTTACCATGCGAATTACGACCGTTTTCGCCATTGTGGCGTCACTTGGTGTGGCGTTAGCCGATCAGGCCTATCTCGGCTTCAACTCTGGGGCCACTACGGACAGCAAAAAAGCAAAGAAGCAGGCGGATTTCGAGAAGGAATTCCAGACTGCACAGAAACTCCAAAACTCCCCCGGCCTCTTCAATAGTGTTCGCTTATATACCAACATCCAAGCCCAGACGACTGACACACCTATCGAAGCGTTTCCCGCTGCAATCAAAACCAATTCGAAGCTCCTACTCGGCATCTGGTGCTCTGGAACTACATCGATCAAGAATGAGCTCAGTGCGCTGTCGAAAGCCGTCACTCAGTATGGCGCCAACTTTACAAACCTCGTCATTGGCATTTCGGTGGGCAGCGAAGACATGTATCGCATTTCGGACAGCGGCATAAAGAATAAAGCTGGTGTCGGCCAAGGCCCCACGACAATGGTCAAGTTCATCCAAGAAGTCCGTGATAACCTAAAGGGGACCCCGCTCAGCAAGATCCCCGTTGGCCATGTTGATACGTGGAGCGCGTGGGGAAACAAATCGAACAAGGCGGTGATTGACGAAGTGGACTTTGTCGGGACGAACCTATTCCCCTACTACGAAGACGACAAGGGCAACGCCATCTCCAACGCAACAGCCGTGTTCAACTACGCCCTCAACAGCACGAAGAGTGCGGCGGGGAAGAAGCCCATCTGGATCACCGAAACCGGGTGGCCTCTCACCGGTCCAGACTTTGGGCAGGCCAAGGCCTCACTCGATAATGCACGAGAGTTCTGGAATACTATTGGGTGTACGCTGTTTGGTCGAACAAACGTCTGGTGGTACGAACTGCACGATTCGAATCCGGACAATGCGGCCAAGTTTGGTATCACCAAAGACCTATCCACGACGCCGCAATTCAACCTAACGTGCTCTGCAAACTCTGGGGCTCCCGCCTCGATTAACAACAAACCCACCTCTGTGGGGAACATTTCTACGGTCACTCTTGTGAACTCCCTGGTGGTTGGACTATCGATGCTCTTCGCTGTCGCAGCCTGGGCTGTGTAGAAGTGAGTTGGGGGATTTGGCGAACAATGATACCGGATGCTTGCCTATAACACAGGTTCCCAGTGTTGATTAGGGGTTTCCTGGTGCCATTTATTATAGCAGACCGTTACCAGGTGAAGGGGCAAAACTTATATAGTACTCTGCTAACTATAGTAAATATAAAAATACTATAATTTGTTAGCAAAATCTAAGTAATTTTACATTTATAATATAACGTGTTTTGTATGCGAGCGTCGCACCCAAACGAGTGTCGCAGCATCCCTGCTAAAAAACCTACGCAGCAACCTTGCGCAACAGTACAACAATTTTCCATGCTATGTAGTATAGTATAGCATTACTTACAGCTATTACTATTCTTTATATTTCTAATTTCTACTTTAACGTATTTCACAAGCAATCAGTCTACACAAGTAAATAGTTTACTCTAATAAAATTTTAGTACTTAAATTCCATTTTACTCTAGTTATAACACCTACATTAACATAATCTACTATTAAGTAACTTAAAGTCTCTTAGAACTACTAGCTTATTTTAAAGAACATTAAATTAATTACTATAAAATAAAAAACTTGTAGCTAATATAAACTATTACTACGCTAGATAAAATCTCTTAGCAGAGACTAAAACTATAAATAAAAACAAAATTGTATTTACAACTAACTGTAGAACTTTTACATAATAACTTTATATTTAATTCTAATGTTTTTTTTGCTTATTATACTTATAAGTGTTATGCCTAGCCTTTGTATAGTTCTTATAGCGCTGTTAACCTAGCAAAGTTAGCTTAGAATAATTACTACTATAAGTCTTCTTAGATAATTAAAACACTGCTTACACTTTAGAAGCTACGTGTAATACTATAATATCTTTACACTGTGCTTTATTATTTTACTTTACTAAATTATTTTTTTTTATACTTTTATATATACTTAATTTTACTACTTACTTTTTAAACCTTTTAAGTTTAGGTGTTTTAATAAGCTATAAGAAACTCTCTTAAGATAAAGTTAATAATTATATAAAAAAATTATACAAAAGCTTTGATTATAATTTAAACTTATATAAATTACTTAACATCTTTTCTTATTATAGCGTTTCTAGGAAAGTTGCTAGTAGTAAAGTATATAGCTATATGTTAAAAGAATTGAAAACCACTTCTGTAAAGATAGAATATGTCACAGTTATGTTACAGCTAGCCAACCCCTGAGTACCCCAAGGGCTTGGAACGGGGTATATAGGCTCCTCGGCCTCCTTACCTCTGCCTCTGACCCTAAGGTTTACTCTCTCTTTTGTAGCTCTGCTACACACCCCCTATCCTACATTCCCTCCCTGTACCTCGTGCTTCCCGCTCGACACCTCTTACATAAGATCTGCTGCTATCTTCTCTACTAACTAATCGAACAACTTAATTAGGCCTACTATGTTCTCATGCTTCTTAAGTCTACTCGCGCTTATATCTAGACTAACCTAAATTAAGCTCTAGTTTTAGCTTGTTAAATAGGAATACAATGTGATAGGAAGGATATAAGTTAAGATAGGGTGCAGCAGGTGCTTTAGCAACTAGGTTTAAGTGCTACGAGTAAAACGCTGTTGTTGCAAGTGTATATAAAGGTGAAAAGGCCCTGCGTGCTTTTATGATACATCCGTTGTACAGTTAAACAACAAATAGCGTCTTGTATGAGCACTACAATCGTTGGGGTCAGGGAGAGGTGCTTCAGTTCGACCTCTGAGAGTCGTGGGGAGTTTTGGGTTGTTCATGTTCATACGGGATAAGTACTAGCAGACCTGTGGTGGCTCCGCAATCTAGAGCTTCATACAGTACTCTCCTCTTTAGTCATATCTACAAATCGTCGCCTCCAGTACAAGATCATGGCTGGAGCGGTTCGGCCGCCCTCCCTGCTTGTGGTGGCCATTTGTAGCGGCAATTGACTCCTACTACTGTTATATAACACTAGTTAGCATCCTTACATACCTTAACCTGTTCTGCAGATGGGTTAGCTTCGTTTCTTCACACATAAAAGCGGCATTAGATTCCTCTCTCTATATTCTTAATTTGCAATCTATTAGAGCCTCAAGCAAAGCTACTGTGTTAGGATGATGATGGCCAAGGATGGGCTGCTGTTGCACGTGATAGTGGGCCTGAACCCGTCCAACGACATGCACAGCCTTTACACAGCCTTGCCCTCTACAACAGATGGTGGCTGTAACGGGTCTCGTGGGAGGATGTTTCAATTGAAATTTTCGGTCAAATAATATTTCCAGAGGTAGAGGTAGAGTCTCGAAAATACCTCTGGAGAATTATTTAAGACAATTGCAGTTAGATAGTGGGACTAAAGTTAAGTACCCGCAATGCTGGTCCCCGCGGCAGAGCGAGAGATCTTCCTTCTCCCTCACTACTGAAGCCAGATAAGTATCATTTCTGAGGTTTAATTCGAGGTCTCTTTTGGGTTTCGGTCACTTACTGCCAACCACTGGGAAATTTATGGGTTTATGGGCGCGTCACCATTTGCGGGACATCTTTCACCGGCTTCTCCGGCCCAGCTCATCTAGGCATCAGGGGGCCAAATTGAACCGGGATCCCCTCGAATGGTCTCTCAAATCTCAACGCTTTCACCGGAGCTGCACTGGTGGCGGTGCGAATGTCTGCACCGCCGATCGTCTTGGCGGGCTCGAAGAAGTAATTACGGCCGGAAGTCGACCGCGCTAGGTGGCCAATGATGGGAGAGGGACGTAAGGCTGAGAACGACACATCTTCAGGTATTGGTTATGGTGAGTTGTACGCGCTTACTTGCTTACGTTGCTTTCTGTTCCACAGGTTGTGCACTTCGACCTTGCCACCGATAAGCAGCTATCAAGCTGTGCTTGTCTGCAGAAGCCTAAATGGACTAATTCTTATATATACGTCCTGTATTGGTCGCAAAATTCGCATACTGGTTCTTGGACATCTCAAATTCGCTTCACAGCTTACAATGGCCACAAAATCGTTCACGAACCACCTGATCACAGATGAGCTCTCGTACAATCTTTCGAGAAAATACCCTTTCGGCCGAGCCTTTAAATGGTGGGTTCTTGGAGTCTTCACCTTCTTCATGGTGCTTCTCACCGTGTTCAACGTTGCCGTGAACGGGTTCGACAAAGACTTCAGATACACCACGGATCCGAACACAACAGTCAGCGACACCCACTGGTATAACAGTTTAGTTTTTACGTGGGGCTCCAATAGTCTCACTCCGACATGCCAGAGTTTACAAATCCCGGTTGGTTACCGATTCATCACCACGAATCTGGGCTTTCAGTATACAGTATCGAAGATAGCAGGATCAGGCGCGAAACCAAAACAACAAAGAGCTTCTGTGTCATATCATAATAACACTTTGGAGAATTGCAACATCATCAACATCAGCATATATCTGAAGAAGTCCGATTCGTCCCCACCTAAGCGGAACCAGGAAAATTTTGCTCGCTGGAGCTGGATGGAAAGTAATGCCATTGCCATCGTTCATTGCCAAATCACGAACGACGACGACAGATTTACACTAGAGTTTCGAGTTGAATATACCCCTCAGATCTATGACCACTCCTTCATCGCGTCTGATGATCTCGAAACGAACGCAGCTCTCTGGTGGGGCGCTCGGCTGTTGAACGCGTATTTTGCCGGTATACAACATACTATGTTGGGATATCTACCAGACGATTACAAGGACACTCCGATATACACGCGAGCGAAAATAGACTTTCACACTAGATCCGGCGGAAGTAACAGATCGATCCATGACTCACAACTTTACAACCTAGATTATAACTTTCTTCGTTCAGATGGGGTAGCGATCTCGACAAACTTTCTTGGACATGACAGCAGCTCAGTATACAACAACGCGAGTGTCCCACTGTCCCGCCCGCTGACCGAGGCTCTCATGTGGAACAAGATCTTTCGATCCGCCATCCTCGCTGACCTCGGAAATACGGAAGCGGAGAACCTGCTCACTAACGAAACTCTGTTACGATATGCTCTCGATCCGGACGATGATTTCAACAGAGTGTCTGGCGCGCCGCTGAAGCCCGACGAGATGGGAAGTTGGAGGTGGATGTTCGCCGCCATGCCCTACCCTGGTAACTATTCTAAGCAGCCTGTCTTTCTAAACGAGTCTTTCGACATATTTGAGGGCCACGCTCACCCTCTGAAGACAAAGCCTGCATTTATATTTGCAGAATATATCTGCAATGTTCCGGGAATGAGAAATCCGTTGGCTATGGTTATGTTCACGCTTGTTGCGAATTTGGCGCTTTTCCACTCGGCTTGGGCGCTGTTCAAGTATGTGGCTGATAGGCGCGTGTCGTGGATCGATCAGGAAAGCAACTGGTGTGAGGGGTGTATAGACATGCGTAGGGTCCTTCATGGTCGCGAAATGAGTAAGAGCGCCGAAACACTTCAGGGAAGGGAGATGCAAGAAGGAATTGAGATGATTGAAGGGGAAGAGCTTTCTAGAGAGGGGAAAATCCCTAAAGAAGACCAAACGCACAAATACAGCTTCTCTGAAGAGGAAGACGATGCAGAGGCTTCGATCAATATGGGAGGCTTGCTGCGTTCGGAGTCAAGCAGTACTCAGAGGCTAATTCCGGACTAGTGTTTTACGCCTAGATTGGGGTTCAATGATCATAGAAGATATGAAGCAGGAGAGACTTTACAAAGACCCTAATACATGCAAGGCAGAATAGGCAGGAGGGAGGGTAGTTATCTACGTTCTACTCTTGCTGTTGCAGGGAATATGCCCAGGTGTAGAAATAATAAGCGCAGTATTTTGCAATGAACCCCCGGGGATCGTCCTGTCACTTTCTCTATACACACGTTACGGAAAATCTAGGCGTTATCATGGACTACGGAGAGACCATCTCTGCGCTTTCATACACAGGACCTTTCGAATTTGTCCTAAACTCTCGCAATCGACCAGGGAACCACCACCAACATTCGACGGGCCATCATCTCTACTGTACACCCGCCTGGGACCCTGATCTAGGCCAACCTAGCACACACGTGGAAGGCCCAAAGCCAGAACGAAGAAGCTATCCCGCTGATAGAAAAGTGCTTCGAACTACAAAAGCGGATACTTGGGACTCACCATCTAAACACAGAGACTTCACTAGAAACTTTAGACTAGTGGCGAATGAACGATAGGGATGAGATCTAACGCTGCTATTATTTCTGAGAATATGAAGCTGGTGAACATGCCGAACAGGTCAAGCTGTGTAAGCATGCTTATTAGTGATAATTTAGAGTAATATGAGAAGAGTAATATAAGAAGTTGCCACTAGATATCTCCATGACGGACAAGGAGGACAGCTGACCCGCTCTGGCTAGGATCTTGTACTGGAGGCGACGATTTGTAGATATAGCTGAAGAGAAGAGTACTGTATGCAGCTCTAGATAGTGGAGAATCTTGCCAAGCATGGCCACCACCATACCTCTGCTAGTACTCATTCCGCATGAACATGAACAATCCAGAAGCACCTCTCTACGATCCCAGAGATTGTGCTAGTTGTTTGACCGTACGACAACTGCATCACCAAAACATGTACACCCTTTCCACCTTTGTATGCGCTTGCAGCGACGGTGTTTCGATAGTAACGCCTTGTTGAACCCACCCGCCGAACCGCAGGCTTCGATTTCCAAGGTCGCCGGGTCCTATCCTATCCAATATCCTTTCCATCACATCGTATTCCCCTCCAACGAGCCAAGACTAGAGCTCGCTGCGGCTTGGTCTAGGAATCGGCGCCGGCGGACTCGGGATGTAGAAGGATATAGTGGGCTCGCGTTCTGCATCGCGACGTGAGTGGGATTGCTGTGTCGAAGCTGGTTTCGAAGCTGGAAGAGCGTTAGCTGACTAGATAAGCACCTGGCCATTCTTAGTTATTACTGCTCCCAACCCCAAGGCAGATTTATTAATAATCCGAGAGCTTATGACATCCGCGCAGCCCCCCATCTTACGGTAGAAACCCACAGGTGTATGAGGTCATCGCGCATTAGCCATGATTAGTGGTTCGCTTCCGCTGGAAGTACCAATCAACAGGACGACGCTGTATAGAATCGCGCCCCGCAGCGAGCATAGGGCTGCGATGACTTCCTGATAGCGGGGGAAGATTTCAAAGTAGGATAAAGCTATTCTGCAAACATATAGAGTGAAAAATGCTTAAGGTTAGCGCTATAGAAAGGGAAGCCTATTATATTATAACACAAGACGTTGTACAAACTAGAGGTAGTGGCGACAGTTTAAATGTTATTTTTAGGAAGAAGTGATTAGAGACATTTAGCATTATCTATAGCGGATTATTTTTATAGAATTATAGCTAATTTATTCTACTACTAAGCTAGCAAAACTACTAAAACAGCTAAAGTCTTTTAGCCTAACTAACTCTATATATAAAACATAATACCTAAATAATAAAACACTATACACACTTAGTAAAAAAGTAGAATTAGCTTTAGACTTTAGACTTACTGCTTAGGCTATTTTAAGTGTATATAACATACTGTCGCATACAATTATCCGCCTATATATATCCTTTTACTATGCTAGCTAGAAGATTAACCTTTTAGCAACGCAACATATACTTTATTAATAGCTTTTTAACTAGCTTAGTAAAATTATGTTTTAACTTAAAATAATATAAACTAATATAAAGCTAAAAAATTACTAAGCTAGATAAACTCTCTTAGCGCAACTTATACTATATATAAAACGTAATGTTTAATTAACATAACGCTAGACTAACTTAATAAAAAAGTAAAAGTATTCTTATAAACCAGCTTAGTAGGTGTATTAAGTATTATTTAAAACTTAAAGAAAAGTGTAAGTATAACTATTACTATAAAAAAGCGTTTTATAAAAATGATAAAGTAATTTAAAGCTAAGTAGAGTGTCTAAACTAACAACATATATCTTTCTTTAATAAAATAAACTTTATAATAAGCTAAATATTTATAAATTATACTTACACTTAAACTTTACTTTAAGCTTTAAATACTACTTAATAAAAATACTAAGCTAGTTTATACTAATATTGTAAGGACGGAGCTCTGTACCACTACGCTAATACAACTAAAAAGGTGCGAATAATCAACCAACAGTTAATTATTGCGTATAGAATAGTATATATACCCGTCGCACGTAAGCACCATCTTAGCCTTACAAATATAGCCTTGATTATAATTAGTGTATAAAGAATTAGCTATATTAGCTACAGCTACTAGCTAAAAAAATTCTTATATATTTAGCTAAAGTATATAGTTAATAATTACCTAATTTTTATTATTATTTAGCTTTTATAAGTTAGCTATAAAATTAGCTTGTAAGAGTTATTTATTAAATAAGTTATTTATTATCTTTTAAAAAACTTTATGCACAGCTATAGTATATTTCTTAAAAAGTATTATATTTTATTTAAATATTTAAAGTGTAAGCTATGTCTAATATTCTTTTAACATATTTAAGTAGTGTTATTAGAAATATGTTAGAGAAAAAAAAGTAGTTTAGTGTAGTCTTAGTAAAAGTAAGTAACATAGATGTGTAAGTAACTTGCTTATAGAGTATGTTATATACTTTATAATAACTATTTTTTTAAACTAGTAAATTCTTATAAGTTAGCTATATAATTATATTACTAGAATTAACTATTAGTTAGTTGTTAACATCTTTTTAGTTATATTAGCAGAGTAGTATAGAGTCTTGTTCTTACGTCTATCTTAACGTACACTATAGGCAAGTTGCTTTCACACCTAAGTTGCTTACTTTTACTAAAACTCTACTAAACTACTTTTCTTATACTAATGTATTTCTAATAATACTACTTAAATGTGCTAAAAGAATATTAGAAATAGCTTATACTTTAGACTTTTAAATAAAACCTAACACTTTTAAAGTAACATGCTATAGCTATATATAAAGTCTTTTAAATAATAATAAATAACTAATACACTAAATACTTTTTATAAGCTAATTTTATAGCTAACTTATAAACACTAGATAATAATAAAAAGTAAGTAATTATTAAGTATATACTTAAGCTATATATGTAAGGATTTTCTTTTTAGCTAGTAGCTATAGCTAATATAGCTAATTCTTTACACACTAAGCATAATCTAGGCTATGTTAGCATAAACTAGCTTAGTATGTTTGATTATAGCATTAAAGTTTAGCTTAAAGATTTTTTAAAAACATTGTTCTAGCTAGCGCTAGTCTTAATTAGGGGGCGTGTGAGAATAGTAGAGGTTATTATTATATACTCTATACTATAACGTCCCTCCATGCGTGCTAGAAAACCCATTGTGCTGGAAAATACTAGAGGTACTTTGACTTTAGACCGGTATAACTCTGCGCACAAGTCAAGTTTCACTAGACTTATGCATATATAATGTACTGTGGTTGTTTGCGAATATCTATGGCGACTCTTGCCTATAAATTATGTTTGCATTGTCGCATTCGCACCTAATTTGCAGAGACTATACTTCAAAGCGTGACAGAGTTTCTTCCTTACAGCACCACCATTAAGATCCTACTACTTTATAATGCTCATGAACGGTCTTACTAAGTTTTAGAACCTTGCTATAATGCTGAGAAGTTATCGTCGGCCTTGTGCCTGCTGTCGCGCATAGATTCATGCGAGGCCGCTACCTCGGTCAGTACTTTCAACCGACCGATTTTGGCTAGTGCAAAACGACTCCGCACCTGCATAATCGTCGCGGTGTAATTTACGAGCAGGTATGAGCCTTCCTTTTCGGAAGCTTGGATGAGGAAAATTTAGCAATAACAAAGGAAGAATAGCGATATAGACAAACAAATCTCCTGTGCCGCCGACAATGTTCATACGGAGCACCGCGTCGGTCAGTTGCAAAGTCAGGTTTGACATTCGGAAGACAGACGCCGACATACTGATTCCGGCTTGGCGACACCTTAAAACTGTGAACAGTAACAAAGGGGCAAACTTTAGCCCACCAACAACAGAACACGGCATTATAATATTGCATTAAAACACCTAGAATATAGTAATAGACCTAGTAAAATATATTTATTTGCCTTAAAAATCTAGAATATTTGCAAAAGTGGTGGAAAGTTTTATAGGCTAATTAGACATTAATCCGGCGCTTTTTTAAACCAATAAGAGAAAAGACTTGGCAAGATGTACAGTGAATAATAGAGATTTGTGGTGTCTGTTAGGCCTGTGGCTGTGCGAAGTCTTGGCGGGCGGGCGGACCTCAGCTGTACCCTTTTGTGGGCCAGCACATGGCCGAGTGGTGTAGAGCTAGTCGTGACAGAGTTGCCAGAATACTGCCTAAGTATTGGGTGGGTTCGAATCCCGCACTTAGTTCAGCCAGGCTCATTTTCGGGGGGGAATTGAAACGTGAGACTGTCTCTTCAGCGCCACGATGTAGTGCACGTATACGTGGCAGCAGCTTAGTGATGGATCACCTAGGTTGTACGACTTCTCTCCAGATTCTCAATATATATAGCATAATGTGGTTCATAGGTGGATACTTCACTCAGAGTCCTCCTGCGCCAATTTTCGACTGGGCTGCACGAGGCCGACCCGGCAACATAAACTCAATGGACTCCACCGAGCTCGAGGAGATGACTGCTATGGCAGCAGGGATGGAGCAAGACGACCTCGAGGAGTTCCTGCAAGTCTTGGTCGATGGTTCTCCGCCCGAAACACTCAGCCTGATATCTTTGGCGCTTTTCACCAAAACGAACACCATGGAATATATGGACCGAGCTCTTCGCTGGGCGGAAGAAGCAGCAGCCGCGGCTACATCTGACCGCGATTATGTAGCTAGACTGGGAATTCTCGGAACTATGCTCTCTCGGAGCGGTGAGTCGTTCCTACGTGCCATTCAACTAGGGCTGTCAAATATACTGGACGTGCTTGTGGAAGCTGGATTCGACATTGAGAAACAAGGTATCCAGGGGCAGGCGCTTCTGCATGAAGCCTGCAAAGGCGGAGACATATCAGTAGCGCGTGTTCTCTTAGAGAGAGGGTTCAATCCTAACGCGAGGAACGCGAGGAACGAAACGGCACTAATGGTTGCTGCGGGGCATGGAAATGATGCGATTGTGCGTTTGCTGTTAGAATACAAGGCTGACATTGAAGCTGAGGATCAAAACGGTGACTCTGCCCTCCACACCGCTGCTTATCATGGATTCGAAAGCGTCGCTCGGGCCCTGCTGGAAAACAGAGCCAGGCCGGCGGTCTGTAGCGGTTCCGGACATACACCGATGCAATGGGCGCTTAATCGGGGCCACCTCGGCGTAGCAAAACTACTATTAGATTTCAAGGCTTTCCCAGACCTTGCAGATGATACCTGTGTGCCCTTAAACCAAATATCTGGCGGCGATATCTATGGACAGATCGAACTCGCCCAGAAAATCATATTCCCGGCTTCTTTGACGTTGGGCTGGTTAGACCATATGCGGTTCGTTGTCGCTGCTGGAGAAGGCTCAGATCACGATTTGGAACTGATCGAACCCGGACCCGGTGGCACGATGGCCGAGCCATACGTCGCCATCTCTTATTGTTGGGGCCGTACTCGGGGCAGCGATGATCCTCTCTCGATCCTCGTTCCGTCTCGGGACAGGCCGGGTTCAACCGAGGTTCGCAAGACTAGGGCGTCCCGAGATATTCTACTACGAAGCCTTGAGTACGCTGCGGCCAAGGGAGTGAAGAGGATCTGGATTGACCAAGAGTGCATTCATCAAGATGATGCCAAAGACAAAAAGGATGCGCTGCAAAACATGCACCTCGTGTACCGCCAAGCAAAGACCACTCTAGTACTCCTTGACCGACATGTTCGAACACCCGCCGAGATTGCTTCTCTACACGACACCATTCTGAGGCTCGATAAATGCCCAGATCTGAAGGCAAGAATTGCTGGGGACAGGTGGTTCACTCGCGCCTGGACCTGCCAGGAATACGGAGTCACTCCGACAGAGAACCTGCGATATCTGGTTGGGTGGGACAAAGACTTGGATGTATCGGGACACCGGTGGGAATTCGCCAGCGCCAGTTTCAACTTGAGGTCCGGGGACATCGTGCAAAATCTCCCAAGGTCCTGGGAATTTAGCCACCGCGAGATCGGCGGAATATCCTTCGAAAGCAGTACACAGAATCCCAGCAATATTGATCTCTCGAGCGAGATTGGTGTATTCGGCACGGGGGGAGATGATGAAATAATATACACATTGACAAGCGACAGGGTTGAAGAAATGTATTGGTGGAAGCATGGTCTGAGGTACGTGCTCATATACACGATTGCTACCATAAACTTTATACCACTGACCACCATACTTTGTCATAGCTTCAGGTTCGGCGCCCGGGGACGCGATATTCTCCCCGACGTGGCAATTCCCGACCGCGGAGACCCCAAATCTTCCCATACTCGACGGGAATGGCTGAAGCTGCAAATGAGCATCCTGGCTGCCCTGTTTACCCAACGCCAAAAAGCATGCACCGTCTTTTCCGACAAGCTCGCGATCCTGGGCAACCTCACAGGCTATCTATACCGACTTCACCCAAGCGAAGCGCTTCGGAAACAACTCAGCTTCTCCGCCTGTGTGTTAGCTATGGCTTTGTTCAACGGGGATCTGAGCCCTCTCTTCACAAACGACTTGGCATTTCTAGAACACAATGGTGAAGCAGACGTTACGCAAGGCTTGCTTCTAAGCCAGACTCACCTCTATATGCTCGCAAGTGGACGCTCTGCACATTCCAGGAACAGAGCACAAGTCACGGCAGGGAGTAAGTGCCTCGTTCTTGGGGGCAAGCTTCTTGTTGAGGGAATCTTGTGGCGAATCGTTCCATTCACCGACCTCGAGGGTCTAGAGAAGACGACCGAGCCGATAGCAAAAGAAGACAGCAGGGACCCCATTCGGTTTTATTTCTTCCAGACACTTGTTCGCAGGCTCGTCACCCTCGAGAGGATAGACCTGCTAGAGTTGGTGGTCGCCTCCGTTATGCGGCGTCAGTTGACTTCGCCGCTGGAATTGGTTCACCTCCTCAACGAGCTACAGGCGTGGTCTTGTAACGAGCGGCACTGGCCCACGAACATCTCCGAAGAGTCATTTCTCGAGCAGATCCCCGTACCTCGAAAAATCGAGGTTGTTCTTTCGAACGGACGGACGAGGAATGTGGTCCGGTATCTGAAATACAGGGACGCGAGAGGGTTGGACTATGCCCTCGGGGAGTTGGAATCTGACGACTCCCAGCCAAGGGATCTACTCTCGCACATACACCATGCTGTTCTGCATGGGCGTCCTTTAGCCCTTGGGGAGTGTAAGGTCGGAGACCAGACGCTCGTGAGCCTCTTCATGTTTGATCCCACTCAGCACCAGTGGATCCTGACACCAGTGAACGAGTTAGAATACGAGTTCGGCAAGAATCCGTGGTTGCATATGCATCCCAAGGACACATTTTGGTGTGTTACAAAGGGCGAGCAAACGGTTTCTAGTGCTGACTCGCAAAGAGCGTCGGAGATTTTGAATCTTGGAGCGGATGGAGAAAAACTCTTCTTGAATGAAACTCTCAAAGTGGTAACTTCGGGCACGAGATCGTCTATTACCGGCACATGGTCACCAAGGCTGTCAAGACGGGGAGTTCTTACTATTGGAGACGATGGTTCGTGGAATATGATACCGTTGGGACAAGGTACGCGCTCCGTACAATACCAACTAACAAGCACCCGTCCGTACTAATGCTACACAATAGCAGCTAAATACTACTGGCTCATGGGAGTGTAAAAATGTGATGCCTTACTTTGTCTGAGTCGCAAACGTTTTTAATTCTCAATACACATTCACACTCTGGCTTGACGGGTCCCGAAGTTACACTCGGGGAAGCTCCCATACCCTTCCAAGAAAGATAGCAATCGTGACTTACGTCGGGCAGTCCAGTTGATCCGTCGATAATATGAAAAGAATATAAGCCGGTCAGCCTTTCTGCAATGCTTTCCTCAAACCGCGCCGCACCAGTACTCGGCATCTTACGTTCCAACTTGGGAACGTCGGCGGGGGTCGTCGCTGCTTCGCTGCAACCGGAGCTGGACCGTGCACAAACACTTTCGAACTTTGTACTACACAACAATGCAACGATCGTTCGGCACTGAAATACGGGGTAATCGAGGCAGAAATGGTGAATTGACAGAGTCGCAAAGAGGTAGAATATTATCTGCAGTTGAGGCTGGAGAGTCAAAGAGCTGGGCCTGCCCTCCCACGAACGGACTGATAGCGCGCGTCAGTGCGTTTCCATTCAAACAGACTTGTTCAAATGCCTAGCGCGATGCACGTACCCATAATTTGCTGACTTAGCGTCCCGTGGATTTTCGCGCCACAGCCTCCGGATCAGACCTAGCAGCGCACGGGATAGCTATTGCAACTATTGGACTTTATGGCTAATATTCCACAGCCAATTTTAGCAGTTTAGATGTATAATTGCTAAACCCTGAGTCCCCGGACATTTAGTCATACCAGAGACCGAGATTACGCGGCTCCTGCATTTCTCACCCTCTACACACTTTGTTTACAACGAGCAGGTATTAGCCTTCCTTTTCGGAAGCTTGGATGACATAATCAGGCGTCTCGCTTAGCGCACAGGCCAGCATCTAATATATGTCTACTAATTGCCTCTCTTACTTCTTTACTTAACTATAAAACTTTAACAAAGGGCTCTATGTTAATAATAAGTAAGAGTAAGTATATATAACTAGTCTAATGCTAGCAGATAATAAAATACAACTAACATTAGACAGTAAACAGGCCTAACGCTCTCTGCCTAAGCCTTAGCAATCTTAATAGTAAGAAAACTAAGAAAGCTAAGTCTAGTAAAGTAACTACTAACTTCTAATAACAATCTAGCTGTATACTATAGAATTGTCCTAGATGCTAATGTTTTTAAGTGCTTTAATCTACGCGCACTAGGTTTACTAGCAAAAAACTTCTAAAACTAGCAACTCTAATAGCTAATCCTAATAAAATAAACATAAATAATGTTTATAATAACTAGGTAGTAGATAATAATAACTATTTAAGTAATAGTTACTTATTATAGTTTAGTCTAAGTAATAAAAAACTGCAGAATAATAATAATAATGTAGATAAAAGAAATACTACTAAAAGTAATAGTAATAATACAACTAGTAATAGTAAAGGTAAAAATATTAAGAGAGGTAGTAATAGTAATAATAGTAAAGCGCAGAAGAACTACTAAAATTAGCTAGATACTAGCATAAACTAAAAATTAAAGTATGCTCTTATATTCTAAAAGCTATATTAATTAGCTAGAGAAAACCTAATGTAAAGATAGAATCTTATAGGTTTCTTCCTGCCTAAATTTAGATAGCAGTTACTAGGAGATTTTGCATAACACTAAACCCCTACTAAATCTAGCTACACTTTGCCTACTTAAACTAATCCTTTTTATAAATCTAAGAATATAGCCTTATCTAAATATAATCTGTCTAAAAAACAGAGGATTATTATAGTTAATAGTAAAAAAGTTATTTAGAACAACTACTAGACTAACCTAGTAGCAAATAGTTAGATTATTTAGAATAAAAAAACATTTTTTAATGCATTCTATAAATTACACTAGTTTTTATAAAATTAGCTAGTATACTTTTAACTACAGGTAAATAAGCACAGTAATAGCATTACTATGTCTCTAAACATAGATAAATTGCAGAGCGCTAAGGCTATCTAGGCGTTTATAGTAAAGGCTAAGTAAATTCTTTATAAATAATGTGCAGCATCTAGTAGAAAATTTTTAATATGTGTTACTATTTAAAGCTTTTTTAAAGGTTTATGCACATGCTGCTATTATAAAGGTAAAGAGGCTAAGTGTTTATTCTATAACTATAAGCATTAGATACACAGCTAACTTTACTAGACTTTTACAGTATATAAAATATGCATCTAGTAGTAATTAGTAATTAATTAACACTACACTTAAAAAGTATAAGATTTTTAGAAATAATCTCTTAGACAAAGAACTTAAGCCTTTAAAATACTATTAAAAGTAAAAGTAAGCCCTTTTAACTCTAGCTGCAAGCTACTATAATTCTAGCAGTAATATTAGCATAAATCTTAACTATACTGTTAATGTCTATTAGATGTTAATAGCTAGACGTTCCTAACTTATGCAGAGTCTAGTAGCAGGTATAACTAATACTATTAGTAAGATAGAGAACTCTATTAGCTAGCTGTGCAAATATAGTTGTAAGATTAAAAAACAGCATAATCTTCTACTATTAATTGCCTAGGCTAATTAGCTAGAAGCAGAGCTAGATTTAGACTAATTAGAATTAGAGAAAATAGATAGTAAGGTTAAAATCTAGTTAAGTAACATAAAGTCTAGCAGTAAATATAAGAAATCTAGCTGTAATATTAAGAACTCTAGTAGCAACATATAAAAATATAGTAGGAAAGTTAGCAGCAACACTAAGAGCAAAAAACGCAAGTAGTATAAAAATAACTTTTTTAGATAACAGCAATCTCTAGCCTAATCTAATAGATTTTAATACAACAGTAATTACTACACAACACTATAAAAAGGCGCTTAGGCCTATAAATACCTAAAAAAAAAAAAATTTATATAAAAAAATTAGAGACTACATGCTAGATAGTAGGCAGCTTTTAACAGGATGCTACCTAGCAAAGCAAACAGATAACAGTATAATACCTACTAATAATAATATTTAGCCTTAACAAATGTAACAGATATAGAGCTAATAGCAGCTTAGGCTTGTTAGTAAATAAAAGGACTTTAAATAAATAAGTGTAAAGTAACTTATAAACTTTAGTAAATTAACACTAATAAAGAATAAAATTAAGTAAAATAACATACTTTATAGGCAAGTTGCTCACACACCTAAGTTGCTTACTTTTACTAAGACCCTACTACACTACTTTTTCTACACTAATGCATTTCTAACAACACTACTTAAATGTGTTAAAAGAATGTTAGATGTAGCTTACACTTTAAGCTTTTAAATAAGATATAATACTTTTTAACTAACACACTACAGCTATCTATAAGGTCTTTTAAAAAATAATAAGTAACTAACACACTAGACAACCTTTCTAAGCTAATTATATAGCTAACTTATAAAAGCTAAATAATAATAAGAAGTAGGTAATTATTTAGCATATACTTAAGCTAGATGCGTAAGGATTTCCCCTCTAGCTAGCAGCTGTAGCTAATATAGCTAATTCTTTATATGCTAAGTATAATATAAGCTATGTTAGCATAAACTAGCTTAATATGTTTATTAAGTGTTACTTAAAGCTTAAAGTAAAGTTTAAGTGTAAGTATAACTATAAAAAAGCTTTTTATAAAAATCTTATAGTAATTTAAGGCTAGTTTAACTTTATAAAAAATATTAAAGCTAAGTATAGCATCTAGGATAACAACATATATAACTTTAACAAAATAGAGTTTATAATAGGCTAAATATCTACTAGAGTAGTTATTATAAGTTTAGAGAGTGTCACGATTGTGCACGAGTAAGGTTATAGAGCTTCACGGAGGTCTAGTTCAATTACTACGTGAGGTATTATAGTAGGTACAAGACGTTGTGTGAGGAATAGGAAGGTTTAGAAGGAAATTAGTAATTAAATACTTAGCTTAGAAGTCTAAGCGCTTTAAGTATAAATTAAGCTTATTTTAAGTTTAGTTAGTGTTAAGGCAGTTTGTGCTTAAGTTTATGTCTATGTTATGTTATATTTATGTTAGACGTGCACTAATAATACTCTAGTACACGTCTAATACAGTTATGTCTAGGATCTAGGGAGGATACTGTGACAGTACCCCCCCCCTTATTAGGAAGGGAATTCTTTACATTAGTAGTTCTAGCATTAGGTTGTCTTTATTAGGGTATAAGTTTAGTTTAGATAGGTATTAGGTGTAGAATTAGGTTACTGCAGAGTTTTTTTATAAGGCTTCTGCAGGTTTTTATAATAGTTTGTTATATCTAGTCTATTTTATAAAGTATTTATAGATATGTTTTTTTTATTAAACTAGATCTATTTAATGTCTTTTACAATGTATTCTAGTTTGTTGTTTATAATAATAGGTTTAGGTAGCAGGTTTAGCTGTCTAGGTAGATAGTTAGATTTAGGGGCTACTTAGCGCAGCAACAATACATGGAACACAGGGTGTATCTTTATGCTGTTAGGTAGGATTAATTAGTAAGCATGTAATAAGACTATATAGGCTACTATAAAGGGGCTAAAGTTCTTTTAATTAAGTTTTTTTAATTATTAGTTTATTTAAATATTTCTAGCGTCTAGCTAGACCTTCTTGCCAGCTGCATACGCAGGGGCAGAGGTTTAAGATTAGTTTACATACTCTTATTAAAAAGCTTAAGCCTATGTAAGCTTTTTATAAACATATTTAAATATGTTTTAAATTTTATTAATAAGTCTATTTACATCTATTACTTATATAAATTAATAAGTTAGTTAGGGGGTATTTATAAGTAGTTTAAATCTTATTTAAAGGTAGTATCTATAGTTTACTAAAAATAGAGATACTTATGTTAATTTAGATGTTATGTTATTAGCTTTAAACTGTGCTGTAGCTAACTATTTTACTTAGTTATTCTGCTAGTAGTTTATGTACACTTGTAAGACTTATTCTATTACAGCATTTATGTTTTTAGTCT